CTTTCTGAATTCTTACATTCAGTCTGTGCTTAAGACTTGCTTTTCCTACCTAACATTTCTTGCAACATAGTCTTGCCATACACACAGTTAAAATTTATCCACTGTACCATAAACTGTTGTTTTGATCGCTGAATGATCCTTTTTCTGGCCTTGACACTTTCATTCTTGAAGAATGCTGATATAAAAGATACTTTTCTAAGCTTTAACACCTTTTTACAGTTTCTTTGCATTTGTCCATTTCCATTTTGTGTCTTGCTTTATGCTTAGATAATAAACTCTCTATGGCAGTTTGATCTGCATTTAGAGTGTTAGGATACTGGTGTGTAATGTGTAGTTCCTGGTGTTTCAGCTGCTGTATATTACCAGTTATCTGGTGCCTTATTTTAGGGCTTTGTATTATTTATATTATTTCTGTACCTTATGTCTCTGATACAGATTTGCACTTTGTTATGCATACTGTGATGTATGCACATACAAAGTTGTAAATTCAAGAAAACAAGGTTGGGAAATGGATGTGATGATGTAGTTGCTTACACATCTGGTGCTGAGTTTTGAGTAACCATTAACACAGAATTCAGTCTTTACACCTGTTCATTCTGTGTGCATCAAATCCCATTCTGTTAGATACCCTGGGACCACACCTTCTTGGGAAACTGTTTCTGTCTCTCCTTAAGCTTTCAGTGAGCACAGGTGGTGGTAGCTTGGTATCTTTGTCCTATTTGGGTGCCAGACACTGAATTATGGGATGCTTCCAATTCAGTAGAAAGATCTAAAGAATCCAGATTAAAGTTGGAAGAGGCTCTGGCAGTCCTGTGGTGTAATAATTACAGTGAGTGATGGAGTCTCCAAATGTTTGCTGTACTTGCAGGAGAGCTTGGTTGTGGAGCACTGCTCAATTCCAAGGTTCTTCAATAGGGAGCTGGAAAATGGAGAAGAAAATCTGAAATTCTTCTTTCTAAAAAGTATATCCAAAACCTAGCAGACCCTGGAAAGCTTTTCAAATCAGTTTCAGGTATTGGATCTCTTCCATGAATCAAGTGTTGTTGATGAGTCAATTTACCACCATTCAAGCATTTTCATAAGCTTTGCTTGCTGACCAAGGTGAGGACATCTGAATGAAGCAATAAGGAGCATTGTGTTAGTGTCAGAGCTTCTGATCTATTCTTGAAAAAGGAACAGAATGACTTATCTTGACTTCGTCTGTTGTTTTTATCAGTCGTCTGACCATCTATAATGGAAAAAAGTCTTTGATCATAGTTTTGATCCTGAGTACATCTTTTTTTATAAACCACCATTCATAATTTATAGCATCATGCACCTACCTGCACAATCTGATTTTGACTCTCAATCCATTACATGTCACAGAGATGCCATTCTGCATTTTACTCAAACTGGATCATTGCCAGATCACTCTCAGTAGTATTCATGAGGTGAAATACATATAACAGGACTTGGAACTCCTTGAAATAATCTGATTCAGTTTCCTTTTTCTCTGAAGATGTTTGTGCTTTCAGCATGGACTGTGTTCTCACACATCTGTGAAGGTATAAAGCAAACTTTGAAATTGGAGAAAAAAGTCACTAATGGCTTTGGTACACCTGGCATCTAAAAACATGTGTCCCTTGTCAGTAATCCTCCTTCTGAAATAGCCACACAGCACACTTGTATCACACCAAAATCTATAGCAATCTAATGTGAAAGCATACATCAGTAGTCATGCTCTGGGTAGCTTTCACAGAAGTGTAAGAACTGTCTCATTAGCTGTAGGTATCAATAACAGGTACACAGGGGCAACCTTTGGTAATTGAAATTCAGAGGCAGTGATGCCCTCAAGAAGCTGCACTATCTAAACTCTCTATATATTTTGGATTTTAAAGCCATTTCTTTGGCATGTACACTGTCACTGTCACTTGTTTCTGTCTATGAGTCTGTTGTCTTTGAGTCCAAAGATGGTAAGTAAAGGAGGGCTAATTCTTCAAGTAAATAGTTCAGAGTTGCTGATTTAGGAATGGTGCAGTGCAGTGGTGGTGTATTGGTTCCATTTCTGCTTATGGCAGTCAGTTCAATGAGTTCAGTCAATGCTCCAGATGACCATCCCTCAGTATAGAATCATGTATTTTTTCACATTCTGTAACATTTCATGTCTAAACTGATTTGCCTCATGCTTTCTGTTTGGCTAGGCAGCCTCATCCTCCCTGAGCTTTTCACTTCCTTCTAAGAGCAGGCCCATCAGTCCCTGATACCCTGTCATTGTCATATTTCAGCATATACTTTGACTGTCACTTCACTCAGGAAGCAAAACGGGAACTTTTGATTTATTTTTTTTTTAATCTGAGGTGCATTTCCTCACTGACTTCTCTGGTGACAAAGCCAGTTTAAGAGGTGACAACCCTGCTTTCTGCTCCTGTTATGCTTCAAAAAAAGGTGCTAACAAGTTATTTTCTTGGGCTGTGTTTGAAGCCAGTTCAGTGAAATGAGCTGAGTTGTAAACAAGAACCTTGGATCATGTCTGTGATCCATTGGTCTCATGAAGAAGAGAAGATTGTTAACTATGGCCAAAGGAGAGGAGGCCAAGGAAAACAATCTATTAGTCAGCGATACTAGAGGACACTGAAGTGAAGCTGTGCCTTATGTAACTTAAAAGGTAGAATTCTGCCCCGATGAAAATTCAATAGGAAAGGCTGTTCTGGTGCCAAAGTGCAAGGTTTCTTTAATGTTTCACTAGAAAACAAAAGGGTTAGAAGGAAGTTGCTTTTCCGGTGATTTGGGGGGGGGGTTTGTTGGTAGTGTATTTTGAAGTTTATTGTATCAAGTATTGAAGTGCTCCAAGCTATAGCCAGGATAAAAACAACTAAGTGTGCTTCATGTTGCTCTCTTATCGCTCTTATTTGACCCTATTGCTCTCTACAACTACCTGAAAGGAGATCGTAGCAATGTAGGAGTCAATCTCTTCTCCCAGGTAACAAGAGACAGGAGTAGAGGAAATGGCCTCAAGTTACACTAGGGCAGTTTAGATTGGATATTAGGAAAAATTTCTGCACAGAAAGGGTTGTCAAGCATTGGAGCAAGCTGCTCAGGGAAGTGTTGGAGTCACCATCCCTGGCGGTATTTAAAAGATGTGCAGCTGTGGTGCTTAGAGACATGGTTTAGTGGTGGACTTGACAGTGCTGGGTTAGCAGTTGGATTTCATGATTCTGGAGGTCTTTTCCAACCTAAATGATTCTGTGGTTCTAAGGTAGGAGGGGTTCAGACCCTCAGAACAATTCTACAGTTACTTGTCTTTTATGGTGTTCATCATTGTTATGTGTTCTCCAGGGTTTCTGCAGCTGCTGTTTGCATGCTGCCCATTCAGGTTGCTGCCTGGTTTTATTCTAATCTAGTCAAATAAAACTCAGGGTAGTGAATGTCATTATAACCAGTTCTTTTGTTGGGTTGAGTTTACTGTTGGCACAAGAGCATCCTGAAGTAAGTGTTGTTCAAAATAATTCAGCCATCTACACAAGAGGCAAGAACAGCTCACTTCAAAGGCACTGCAGCCCTTGTAGATTAGATGTATGTATGGTCTGGTCCAGGCAAAACAAATGACTTGTTGAACATCAGAGAAGGAGGTGTGGTATTGATGCCATCTGTCCTTTGCCTAGTCCAACACTGAAGAAAATCTTTTTTTTTTTTTTTTTTTTTAGAAATACAACCCTGGTTTTTAGTCTGATACAATGTAAAGCTAACAGAGATTATTTTTTTTCTTAAGTCTGCTACTGACAACTGGTATAAGCCTTCAAATAAGATGTAGCATTGCAGGAGATTTTGTAAAATATAGAAGTGAATACTTGATGTGAAATTTCTCTGAAGACTATGTATATGTTTTGCTTTTATTTAAAGTGTAATCAGGTTCTGAAAATGAGCACAGAAAATTGTTGCCTTTTTATGTACAGTAGCTCCCATAAGTGCTCTGATTAGTTTCTGTATGTTACCTGTTAACAGCAGTTCACAGTGCTGTCCTTTGAATAACGTCAAGGTAATTTTTTGACAAATTCCACCTACCTAAAGCTGTGCAAACAAGCTGAAAACTGTGGGTGAAGACAAATGTCAGCTGTAACTGGTGATGCACTAGGGGATTAAAAAGTGATTCCAGTTTGAATTTTCAGGAATAGCCCTTACTGGAAAGAATCTTCACATTTAATAATTAGAATGTGTTTGATCAGTATACATAAAGCCTCTCTCCATTATGTTAACATTTGTTATCAGGTGGTAGTGTTCAGCAGAAGGAGCATTTTGGAGCTTCAGTGCAGATAATTCCAGCGTGTTCAAGAAATTCCTTAATGTGACTGTATGACTCCATCTGAGGATATAGCATGCCTTTGGCCATTTTGAGCCAGATCAAGAGCCATTTTATAGTTTTTTGGGGAGCAGGGTGGTTTTTTATAAAGGTACACGCATTTCATGGGAAATGAGCATTTTGTTTAGTTAATGTGAGGGCTATGGAAAATGCAGAAGCTATGCTCCTTTAAAAGCATTTTGTTTGTAGTAGACAGTTTGAAATTTGGCTGGAATGGTGAGGTTAACTGCTCAGGTACAATGTTCATTCATATGCTTTAGAAGTTCATATAGAACTTAGTAATTTGCTGGCTATCAGTGATGGCAATCTTGAACACATTTTCGTAAATCAGGTTGAACCACTCTGCATTCTTGAGATAATATCAACAGAATTTTAGCTTTCAGTAGAAAACAGATATTGACATATCTGTTAATTTAAATAGAAATTGACACTAATGTGTAAAAGTCTGTAGAACAAACCAATACTGTCGACTAATACACTGAAATTGTTAAATTACAGTGTATAGTATTACACTATAGTGTAATTTGGTTATTTTACTCATTCTTCTTCCTTTGTTTTTAATGGGTTTGTCCTTTTGAAATGTGATCATTTAATATAGATGTATGGCTATAGAATATTAATTATGAATATTTAAACCAATGGGTTTTTATTCCTGCTTTTCCAGCTAAGACATTTAGGAAATGATGAAGTACACATTGTCTGGTCAGAGCATACTCGAGATTATAGAAGAGGAATAATTCCAACAGAATTTGGTGATGTTCTTATAGTTATCTATCCCATGAAAAACCATATGTTCAGTATCCAGATCATGAAAAAGCCTGAGGTAAGGGTTTGTTTTCTCCTGTGTTTCCTTCATATGTTTAACATGAACAGAGTTTTGTTTGGAATCTGAAGTTTTGGTATAATAGGTTGATCCAACAAAGTGATGTCTTGAGCATTGACAGTTGTGGCGGTGGTAGGAGGAAAAGGAAGAGCTCAGTGAGTACAATGCATAGTACAATCAGTAAGTCCACACAAGAATTTGGAGATTAATTTAGTAAAGCAAGACCATTCAGCCCTTAGGCATATGAACACCCACTCTTTGTAGTGACTGTTCCTCAAACATCTGTGCTGGTCCTGTTCTTAAAACAGTGGTTTAGGGTAGTGAACACTGACTGAGTAAAAGTAGTCATGAGGTTTAGTACTCCCTAATGGGTACTACTTCTGTGTGTTATGTCACTTGCCATGAATTCCATACTTTAAATATTAAAATTCTTACTAGGAACACTAATATTAATAAATGAGGTATGGCAGAAATAGGATTATCTCTGTATGATGATTGCCTCTATCTCTTGATAGGCATGAAATGATAACCAGTCTTGTTATGACTGGATTACTTATGTTTTTAATTAATAAGTATATTCTTTCTTTTACTACTTTAAGTACAAATAGTTGTATTATTGGGAGTGTGCAGGTTAAGAAGGAAAACAAAAACTGAAAATGGGGATTGTTGTCAGTCCAAAAAGAGGTCCTTATATGTGAAAAAAGAAGTGCCTTCCATCAGATTTCAGCATTCTCAAAACTACCTTAAATGACTAATGGCAAAAATAATGCAGGGATCTAAAATTCTTTCATAGCATTGGTTTCATCTTAGCAGAAAGACTATTCAGTGTATGCTCTGCTCTCCTTGCTGAGCTGATGCACTAATTTGGCTGCTCTTCACCTGCTTTACGTCAGCAGCTTCAGAAATTTATTCACACATACAGGAAATCATACTTAATACTGAGTGTTTGGTTTTGATTTTGTTGGGTTGTTTTTTAATTGCAAAATGATGATTCATTAGAGAAAAATGTAATGCCAAAACATAAGATCCATCTGTTCTCTACACCTTTTTGGGTGCTACCTATAATAAATACTGAGATTTTCTACTGATAACACAAGTAAGGTTTTACACTTAGGGTCCAAAGAGGCAAAACTTTCACCACATATTTCTCCTGTAAAGAACTTACAATCCATTTGTATAGATAGCATAAAAAGGAAGAAGAAGAGATAGAAGAAAAGATGGAAGGTGAGGGTCAGTGCACCAGTAATTGTATGACAGTTGCACATTGAGTTGGTCCTTATGGACATGTTAATATCTAAAACCATGATAAATATTATTTTAAAATTTGAGTAATTATTCATTTTGCTTACTACCACCTACAATATTGTCATCTAGCCTTTCGACTTCATAAACATCATATACATAACTGTTCCTAGGATTTTGGCAGCAACTGTTGGAAATGATCTTTGATGAGACATAGTATTCAAATAGTTGCTTAATTTTCTTCAAATACTGTGTTATCTGTTGCCAAGGATATCAAGCAGTTATATGGCTGTATATTTCCACAAGAGAAAAGGTCTGACATGGAGCACAATAACTGGTTTGATTATCTAGCAATGAGGAGGGAAAAAAAGATTTATTTGAGTGCTCTATTGTTAATGTTGATTGCTAATTGTTATAGCTAAGATCTTGCTTTATATTGAGCTTCTTAATTTTTTATTCAGGTTCCATTTTTTGGTCCACTCTTTGATGGTGCTATTGTGAATGGAAAAATTCTGCCTATTATGGTTCGTGCAACAGCTATAAATGCAAGCCGTGCATTGAAATCATTAATCCCATTATACCAAAACTTGTATCCTTTCACTCAAATGCTTTCCAAGGCATATACATTCCCTTGCAGGTCTACAGACATGATATTCATGTTTTCTGTCATTTTATTTTTCTGTCAGATTAATATAGGGAAAATATTTTCTAGTTGTTTTTTTTTTAATGGTGATGGTGCCTTTAGGGAACTTAAACCCAGAGAAGAGTATTCAGATGAAGACCAGCTTTCTTTAACTAAATAATAGATTCAGTGCTGAAAATTGCCTGCTTCTAGTGTTTTATAACATGTACTTAGCACTTTTTGTTAACAAAATTATTTTAATGACCATTTTACAAGTAGTCTTTCTAAAATAGCAATGTCATGATGTTAATAGTCTTTCATTCCTTAAACCTCTTAAGTATTTATCCAGTGTTAGTGTGACTTAGTTTTATTTTCTAGCTCCAAGAATGCTGCTTTGCTTCAAGATGAGAAATTTATTAAATTTTTGTCATATAGATTTTGTTATTTAGCTCAGAATACAAAGTTGTTGTCAAAATTATGTTCATGTCATTGTAAATGTGTCAGAAAAGGCTGTTTCTTTTTTTGTTGTTATTTTTGGAGCTTAAATTGTAATTTTTGGGAAGGGCTGCTCTTGGAAGAATAGATTTACCAATCAAAGATTTAAAAACATAAGGTAAGTCAGTCACTTATACCTCTCCTGTTCTTAAGATTGAGTTCTGTTATATATCTGTTAATTAAATCACCAAGAATATACTATTTTTTAATTTCATAAATTGAAAGGTAAGTTTAAATTTTGATCTAGAGAAATTCTGTGCTTAATTTCTAACCAAGGTGTAGATACTGGTATCTGTCATGTGATAGACTGTTGCCTCTGTGCTTAATTTCTAACCAAGCTGTAGATAATGGTATCTGTCATGTGATAGACTGTTGCTAAAATGCTCTGTTTTTTCTATGGCTGACTTAATACTTGCAGTGTTTTGGATTAGATATGATGAAATGGTTTTACAGATGAATGATGGATGTGTTTGATATGATCACATTAAGTGATGTTTGCACCATTTCTGCAGATGACAGATGTTGATTCATTCTATTTTTGTTTGGAAAGGTCCGATCCTTTTGTCATTACTCAAGTGGCTTAATCAAAGAATATAAAATGTGTTATCATCATTATACCATGAAAAGTGATGTTTTATAACATTATATTGATGTATAGTGATGAGCAACTGGAAAACAATTTGCTTTGAAATAGCAAATTTTCAGTACCAAACAACCTTACTAACTTGTATTTCTAAACTTCTTTATAGAATATAAAAGTTACAATAAGTTCCTTGGACATAACTTGCAAGCTCAATGTCAGTTCCATAGAGCTGTGCATTGCATTTTTAATTGAGTTCTCCAAATTGTACTTTTTAATATACATCAAAGCACGGCATGTCATTTATGGCATAATGTGGCCTCCATTAAAATGTTGATATGTCTCCTAATTGGTTAACATGATAACTGGAAAGCATTATGTGCATTTAATATTAGGTAGCATTGGTTGTTGGGTTTCAAACATCACTTGCTGAGCTTATGAAGTACCACTTGACTGGGCACTGATGTTAAAGAACTACTTTGTTAAGCAGTCTGTGGAATTCTTTTTTCATCTGGCTTGGTGTATCTTATGTTCAATGCTTAGTATAATAATTTAAAAATTAAAATGGGGTTGTGGGGAGTTCTTTAAAAGCTGTTTGCTTGACATGAAATTGGAGAAAACTCTACAAACCTCCCTGGCTTGAGTTAAGCTATGGTGGAGTCAGCTGCGTGGTGGAGTCAGTTGTGTCAGTGGAGAAGAGCAAAAACATGTTGAATTTCAAAGTCTGGACTAGCTCTCAGTGGTTTAAAAACCTCTTGATTAAAAACATTATGGACATGCTCTTGGTGTTCAACCCATTGCCAGACTTGAGGTCAAGAAGGAATTTCCCTCACACAAGAATGGCAAGGACTGGTGGGTGTTTCCTTTAACATGGATATGATCTGCTATCTAGGAACATTTGACAGTTGAATATAATTATGTTCCTGCAATAGTGGGGAATTGAAGATGTCAAGGGTTGTCTTTGTTGTCTCCTGCTTTTTTCCTCTGGTATATTTTAGCTATGGCTGCAGGAGTTTGCTACTGGCTTTTAAGTTTGTAGTGGACTGCAGAGTGTGGGGGCAAAGTATTTTATGGTCTGTGGTTACACAGCTCTTCTGGACACCCTGCCAGACTCAATGTCTTGTGCAGAAGAAGGGTGGTCTTTCCTTATGTTGAAGTGTTGGTAGAGCAAAGGCAAAGAGGGCTCAGAGTGGTGAAAATAATACATTCAAAGAGAGAGGCAAAAAGGAACAAAAAAGCTATTTTCAGAAGGTACGCCAAAAGCAGTCTCAGCTGCAAGAGTGAAGTGACTTTCCACAAGTCCAAGACCATAATGGTGTCAGTGAAAGAGAATTGTGATCTGTTTGAAATTAATCTTTGTTTACTTATATATGAGTATCTAATATACTGAGGCAGTTTATTAGGAACTTTGATGATGGTTACTAGAAATCCAGTTGAATGTGGGTCTGGAGAGCACAAGAGTACTTGAGACTGATGTCAAACTAAACATTTCAAGCACTCCATTTCTGTATTAGCTCTTTTTTTTACAGTAGTAGGCCAGCAGAAATAGTTAATTTCAAAGCCAGCACTGGTGTATGGATGTTTCCCAGCCTGCAGGTGTGTGGTTCATGTCATGGTGCTGTATAATAGTTCATGGGCACCTTTTGACTCAGTGTGGAGTTCAGGGTATTATATCTAGGTCTGTGCTTATCTGGTTTTGAAGATTCTTGGTTAAAATATCATGTTGTAGATCCTTGTGGTGATGGAATGTGGTAAACAATTAAACTAGGAGTGTGTTGATTTGCTTGCGTATGGGACTGGAAGAAAGTGGCACTGAGTTTGACCCTCCTACTTCCAAGGAGAACTTCTCCATCCTTTGAGACAGTGCATTTTCTAAGTGCAGACGTGACTGAAAAAAGCTGTCATTTGTAATCAGCAGGGATATTCAGGTCTCTTCATGTAACCTGATTGCAACTTTTTCCTTAATGTGCTGGTCTGTTAATCACGATGTGGCAATGGGTAATACAAGTGAATGGTATAACAATGGTTGCATGGATACAGGAAATTCTGCTCATCTCCCTCTTACAGTCTGCCCTGACTTTGAGTATGAATTGTATGATCCGAAGGAGCTTTCTGAGATTGACATATTCTGTCAATCACCTTCCGCTTTCTGACATTATTTTGGCATTTCTGATAGCAAACTTAGATAGCAAAACACTTAGAAGGTTTGATTTTGTTAATGATTTTAAAAGGTTTTATCTGCTCTGTGGTTTTATGCCTTGCTCCAAATACTATAATGATATGTTTCCGTATTGTAGTGTTTTAAGAGTAAAAGTTCACTGAATTTACCAGCAAACATTAGTCATGTTTGGCAGGTGTCCTGCCTTAGTTGATAGTTGACATACTCATTGCTGCAGCCACGTGAAGAGACTATTGCCATTTTGGGTGGAGTTTCTCCATTGGTTTGTGGAATTTGCTTCATTTTCTCCTTCAAGGATTCTCTGGTCCCTCGTTATCTTTTGGCCACTTGGCTTTCTTGTACCAGTACCCCCTCACCAACAGGCAGCACACACACACAGAGCAGGTGACAAATGCTAATGAAGCAGCAGTATCCCCTTCTCTATCTGAAAGCTAATGTTTCCTCTTCTCATTGCATTTGTCATTGTCTTAAAGACATGCATGCTTATCTTCTGAGTACACTCCAGATGCACATATATTAGGAAAACTTCTAGGACTCACAAATGCATGTGTAATAATGGGACTGAGTGTTAAGAACAGTCATTTTCATTATGATGTAGAATAAGAAGACCAATATTTAGGGGGGTTTTTTAGTACTCTGTTTTTACTGAATTGCATTGCAATTCCTAATATGAATCGTTTTATTCATGGCTTATGTCTCATGGCACTTTGTCACATTCTGAATTCAGAATTAACCATGTGTAGGAAATGGATCAATCCTAAACATTTTGAACAATAGAAAGAGTGGCTTCATATAAAATTGTACTTGAACTTCCTGAGTCAACAGCAAATGTTAGCCAGATGCCAAGAGGTACACCTTGACATAGTAGGCACCTTCAGTGATCCAACTTGCTAAAACTATTGCAACAAACCAGGAAAAATACTGGAAGTTGTGGGAGGGACATTCCACTTGTGAAACAACTAGTGTCACTTTTTGCACACTGTACACAGATTTCGGAGTGTTAACAATTATTTCAAACTGTTTGCACTTCAGATAGTGCAATTCAGACACTGTGCCTTCTGTCTTATGTAGTATTCCCCTCCCAAAGGGTGCTACCTAATGTGTAGCTAGACACACAGTAAGAAATCCTATTTAGCATCTTTTAAATCTGAAATTTGTTGACATTTTAGAACACGTGGAATATGGATAACTTTTATCCCTAATCAACATAGCATAATTTTCACTTCTTTTTAATAATCTACAAAGTGTTTGACCTAGCACCAAGAACGGGCATTTCTTTTGGGTGTTTTTGTCACATGAAACCGATTACTTTAAATAGCAAAAATATAATGCAGTTTTAATTATTTCATCTAAAAATGTTACAGAATAAATCTTAATCTAAATGACTGGATAAATTAATCTTTCTTATGAAAACTGAAAAATTGACATCCTCCTGTACTTTTGATATTGCATGACTAAGCAGTTGGTACTTGATGTATTGTAGCTAAACTTTGACAGTTGTCTTCCAGAGGGAGGGAAGATATTAACCCCATATGATGTCTGACAAGACAGTATCTTATTTATGAATAAAATAGTGGCTCTGAGTGGTTTGTTAAAAGTTTGCTCTGTATTAAAAACTTACCACTCAGAAGAAGGTTTTTTTCTTGAGATGATACTCGACTGCCCCAAGAAAGGGTTTTATTGGGTCGGGAAGCATTGCTGTTTCTGGGCCTG